GGACTCTGTAACAGGATGAAAAACGCAATGATTTGTATCGAAAGCTGCTGTCAAGATGGTGTGTGTCTCTGTGTGTGAGGGGGTGAGGGGCACATGTATGGCGGGCGTGTTTATTGTGTCCATTTCTTTGCAGGTCATTCTGGTCAACATTATTTTTTAATATTATAATTTTGAATGCTTTTCCCAGAAACAATTCACTGAACCTAAACAGAAACATAAAAACACACGTCATCTTACAGTCAACTGAACAGGAAAATACTGAGTGTAAGGAATATAAGAAAGAACCAAAGAACTTTAGAAACAGCACACACATCAGCCCCCACTCTGTGTTTCATAGATAAGAAAGTGGTCTCAGAAGTGACGTGGCTTTTCCAAAAGCATAAAGCTCAAGATACATTTGATCTGAATTGACCCTTCTGAAATTTAGTTTCATTGGAGAATGGTTATCAGCAGAAGTCCTGGGGAAAGCTGTCCGTCAGTCTCATGTTCTTGCAGTCACTGAAGCTAGATAAGCATTTATTTGTCTTTCCATGATAATATTTAGCCTGGGAGGCACCTTTGAGTCTGTCCTCAAGGATTTAGTGGCCTCAGTGTTAGACGGAGCTGATGGTGATTGAAAGTTCCTCTGCCCTAGTTTGCCTCAGTGCAGGAGGGAAGCGCTGTTAATGACCTTTAAGAATGTCCCTTCTCCCACTGTGGGCCCAGCATCCCCAGCCCACTGGTGTTGTACAAGCTAGGAGTGAGGCAGCCTTTCCTTTAAGTGAGGAGTGGGTCTTAAACGTCAGAGTCAATACAACCTGCGGTCTCCCCCACATGGTTTTCTGCTGGATTCACCTTGCGACAACCTGGGGGAGTTTGACGAATGTATTTCTTTTCTCCCACCGGAATCCAGTTTGCCACTCCTAAAATACTGATCCGAACAGATGGAGAGCCTTTCTCCATCTGGGTGCCTTCTCTTCTCTTCAGGGACTGAAGGGAGAGAAAAGGAAACGATAATTTTAAGAATTTTGTATACATCAGCCACTGTGCTTATATTGGTGCTTTTTCCAAGTCTATTGGGTAAATAGCATTTTACATATTTTCTGAGAAGCAAACATATGCAAATTAATTTTTTTTACCGATCCCTTGCTCAGAAAGTCAGATACAAGATACAAAGCCAGTATTTTAACCCAAACTCCGCCCTGTTCCCCGTGTCAATAGTTCTCAGAAAACAGTCCCGGCATCCATGCATCATCTAGAGACTGGGTAGAAAGGTAAGTTTTGGGCCCCATCCTAGACAGGCTGAATCAGAAACTCTGGGGCTGCGGGTCTGCACCCCAACAGGTCTTCCACTTCATTCCCATGCACGACGAAGCCCACAGTCTGCACCCTTTTATTCAGCTTCCTGCTTGTGAAAGGAGACAGTGTCTAATTCTCTCCTTTCCCAATGGATCATTTATAGCATGGTTCATCTCTAGACTCAGACTTACTTGACACTTCTTAATTTCCTACATCTTAATGCTACTGTTCTAAGCCACTAACAAAAGGGGAAGTACTCCCCATGTGTGTATGTGTATGTGTGTATATGTATGTTGGCGTACACACACAAATATACACACAGTTAAAGGTAATACTTTTTTAGAAAAACAGGGGAAAGTGCTCAGCTTATTTAAGCCAGTCAATGAGAATAGTTTTAAAAATTAAAATTTACATGAATAAATAGTCACACAGGGTCATCGAATCTTTTTTCAGTGCAAATGGTCTGTCCTGGAGGATGCTCCCATCATGACTGTTCCGCTGTTTCTGGGAGCAGTGCTCTGTCCATGCCTGGCTCAGTTTCTTTACAAACTGCCACAGTTTCTTTATAAACCAAGGCAGAGGTATCAGCAGTGTGGAGACCAGCACAGGGAAGTGTAAGCTCCTTCGTGGGGGAGGGCAGTGAGGAGGGTTTTAAATGTTGATAAGGCAAAGCAAAACAGCAACAGCCTCAATAGTACCATCTGGTCCTTAGTGAGATGTGACCTGCTACAAATTAGTTCATCTCTTAGAGCTTTGTTTCCTCATCATTGTATGGGGAGGGGGAGCAATGATAACCTTATGACAAAAATAAGATTCAGTGTAAAGAGTTGTGCAAACAGTAAGTGAAGCTCTTACCCTTCGCCCTTCTCCCTCCCACCCTTCTTGGATTGGCATTGCCTTTAGGAAACATGAATCATGTGATGCCATCCCCACCCCTCTATGAAGGAGAGAATTTCCCCAGTGCCCTGGTCATCATCAGGTTTTGGAACATGCCGTTAAAAAAGTCAAAAGATGTCCCATTTAGCAACCACAGCAACACACTGCATTCTCAGAGAGAGACATCCATCCATGCAACGCAGGCATTTTTGGCTAATAAGCATTCTCATGTGAGCAAATATTTTCATTTATAATTTTGTCTCAAGTACCCTACTCATATATTCTGTCCCCTTCTCAGGCATGGTTCACCTGGAGAAAAAAAAAAAAAGAAAACCCTCTCCCTCTTCTGTTACAGCACCTTTCAGATGTCTGTGTTGTCCACTCTTCACCTGAGTCATTACACGAGGTTAGGGGTGTCTTTATCGATCCCAGTATGTCAGACCCTCTTTGCCTTTATTGATCCCACTACTCAGTTCACATCCCTGGTACCACTGATGTTTCTCGTGCTGCTCAGCCTGAATCCCAAGGCCATGGAGAGCAGGATGCCTAGGATGGAAAATGGAGGAAAAAAATAAGCAAATTGTAAAACCTCAGTGCCCAAGGGCTCCTGGCCCCACAGGCCAACACAGACACGTGGCCACAAAACTGCCTGGTGTGAATTCCCTAGGGTAACTCACTCCCTCTAATCCCATTTGGTTAATACTGCTCTAAATATCTGGCATTTGAGTTAGATATAAATCAAGGCTTTCACAGTCATTAAAAATCACAAGGGGAAAAAGCCTCTAGGAACCTAAGAATAGGCTTCATCTATAGCCTGATTACTTGATGGATGCGAGAGTGTTCTGGAGGGGCTTTCAGAACCCAGGCAGGGAACCTCAGATGAGATAAGAGACCTGGGGACTGTGGCTTTCTCTGCAAAAACCCAACAAGCTCGTCACCAGGTGGCAGCAATGTCCCACGATTGCATTCCAGACCAACCCAGCCTGGAGATCTTGGGGGGGAAAATATCTCATTAACACAGAGACAACTATACTGAAAAATCAGCCTATCTTATTGGACAGCCACCCCATACCCTCTGCACTCTTAGGACCGGAAATTCAGTAGGGACCATTGCAACTCTCTGATATGTGATCCGGCCAAATACCATGGGTAAATTACAGCAGAAGTGGGTAAAGTTACTGGTTATGGGGATCACTGTTTCTCAAAGAATGGGAACTGGATAGATGTTTCCCACTCCAGAGAAAGGGGATGGCATTACAGACTTCAAGCAGAACCCAAGGGAGGTGGTGCTCAGCCTGCGGTCGGTCACAGTAAGTGTGAGGGTGTTCAGTTACACAGTAGGTGACATTGAACATTACTAATAAAGTCAGAATCATCCTGAGTCCTAGACCAGGATGGTTAGAATTTGGAAACGGTTTTTAATGGCAGAAATCCTTCTTGGTGACACAAGTCATTAGGAGGAGCAATACAAAGACAAGATACCGTTTCTCAAGAAGTCAGCTCTTTAGTTCCCCAAAGAGATCTTTTTTTTTTTTTTCCTGATGAGGAGCTTGAAATGAACTATTTGGAGCACCTAATGGGTCTTAAAAAAGTGTTTTTGTTCACTTGCTGAGTTATAGGTACCACCTGCGATCTGATTTAAGCTCTCAGAAGGGGTGACATGCCTGTTTCAGCCTGAAGAATTTGAATTCCAGTGAATTCCCCAAAGACTGAGCCATTCAGTCTTCTGTTCCCCCACCCCCACCCCCACTTAGGGGTGACGGGCAGAACAGGACTCAGGAAGTAGCAAACCCAAGTCATATCTGGGACTGCAGCTTTCAGAGAAGCAAACGTGCTCATCCTCTTGATGATCCTCTTGATCATCTCTGTACCAGAGGGGAGCTCTGATGCAGGTCCATGCGCTCCTGGTGCTTTGGGGAGACGGAGCCAACCACGTTTTGAGGCTGAAACGTCAAGATTTAGCCCTTCCTTTCCTAGGTCACCATGGTGTTCGTATGTAGCCCAGTGACCACTGGGTCAAGGGGCCACTAAGAAAAGCAGACAGGGGTCTAAAGCATTATGAACTTGTCAACCTATTTAATCTTGAAGACGAACCGATAGAATACAGGTGGACTGAAGCTCATGACCCATTGCCAACAGTGGGCTCTTCACCAAATCGCCCAGCAATGTGGGCGATACAGCATTTAGCACTGCTGGTGTTCAGACCCTTCTGGGCACAGGATATAATCCTCTCTTACCAAGGTGTGGGGATTCCATGTTCTGGTTCCTCCAATCCCGTAAAGGAATTATTTAACCCATTTTGGTGGCGAATGGGGAATCCTTGAAATGCCCCTTTGAAGGAGGACTAGCATTCACCCATGGCTTCTATTTTCTATGAACCTTCCCCTAAAATGCCTTGTCTTGTCCCTCCAGATTGTATGGACACACCTCCTCGCTGGGGAATTGGATGAAAACGGGTTCATTCTGTCAACCACCGGGTTCCAGAGTTCTGCTGTCTGTCCGCTGGGTTCATCCCTTTGCAGATTCAGAAAAGAAGCTCTCCTTTCTCCGCAAGTCCTTACCCAGCCCATTCCACTTCATATAGGGTTTCACCTGTAGGTGTGCCCACGGCGCCACCTCTCATCATCAGACCCACTATCAGTCCTCGACAAACACCCTTCCTCATTTTGACTTTATGCTCAACCTCGGTTTGTGCGTGGTTGACCTAAGTCAGGACATCAGAATAGCTCCTTGCCGTTTCGTCATCTTGCCAAACACGATCTCGAAATCAAATAAACCCAGGCTGATCTCCTCCCCTGGAGCTAGAGCTTCGGCGGTTCTCTTTGCCACTGCGTTTCTTTCTCAAGTTACGCCGGGGGGCTTCTCCCCGGCCAGGCACCAAGAGAGATCGGCGGATGGCGGCCAGCCTCTGCTCTCGCAGGACCCCTCCAGGTCGCCGAGCTGCCCGCTGGCTTGGCCTCGCCCCGGTGGGGGACGCGGGCGGCCCCCGCCCGACGCCCAACAAGTCTCCCTCCCCAGCCTGTGCGCGGCGGCGCGCGGGGAGAGCGCGGGAGAGCGCGGCGCGGCGCGGCGCGGGGAGCCTGGCGCCCGAGGCCGGGCCGGGTCTGGGATGGCGCCGTCCCAGCTCCATCCCCTCTCGGTGGGAAGGGATGGTTGAGTCCAGCCGCCACGGCAGCGGCTCCTTGTGCCGCGAGCAGCCTGTCTTCCGCGCTCCCCGCCTTCCCTCTCGAGCCTGCCTCTCCTCCCTCCCCCTGCGCCCCCTCCCTGCCTCCTGCCCCCCCTCCCGCGGCTCCCACTCGCTGGCTGCCTTTCCAGCTGCCTCCGCTCCGGGTCTCTCCGGCGGCGCGCGCTCCTCTCTCCGCCTCGCCCCCTCCCGCAGCCTCGCAGCCTCGGTGCCTTCCTGCCCGGCTGGGCGGGCGCTCGTCCCCGGCCCCGGCCCGGCAGCCCGGTGTCGGCGCTTGGAGCAGCTCAGCCCTGCCTGCAGTGGGTTCGGGACCCGATGCTATGAGAGCGAAGCGAGCCGGGCGCCCAGACCTGCGGGAGGCGTCGGATGCGCGGCCGGTCCGGGGACCGGGATCTCTCCCCAGCTCGCCTCGCCCTCGGGTGATTCTCTGGCTCCGTCCGTAGCCCTGCTGTGCCTCGGAGGAGCCGGGCGCGTCCGAGAAGAGCCATCGCTGTGGTGCGCGTGTGGAATATCTGCAGACATGACTGCGTGGGGGAAATTCGAGTCGCTGCTTCTGGCGCTGCTGGTGCTGTGCGCGGGGCTCCTCACTGCAGCTCAAGGTAAGGCGGGCTCGCCGGCTGCCCGGCGATGCGCGAACCGTCCGAGGCCCGGCTTGCGAGCCCGGGGTCGGTTCGGAGGCGGGCAGCGTGCGGAGGGGCCGGCCTCCGCCGGTGGCTCTCCACCGCGGACGCCCCGCGATCGCGATGCTGGCAGGCAGCTTGCATCGCCCTTTGCCCACCCTCATCTCCCGCGCCCCACCCCCGCCCTCCTTCCCCCTCACTCGGGCTGAAACGAAATGCCTCTCTTTTCTCGGCGCCCGCCGGGGACTGTTGGGGGAGAAAGGAGCCACCCCGAGTTGGTGAAGCTGCGTGGTGCCGGGCGGCGATGCCTCCTCCGAGATGCCGGAGCAGCGGGTCTTGGTGGCCCGGGTGGTTCCGGGACTTTCTCCCCGGACCCAGAACGCCTGGGAAAGTGGGCCGGGCCAAGCCGGCCCGGCAAGTTCTAGCTCTCTAGGGGTTTGGGTGCCACGGGCGAATCTGCCTGCTGCTGGGCCGCGCACAACACCCCCACCCCACGACCTCGGGGAGTGATGGGGAGCTCCTTGGCCAGGCCGCCCCCACCTGCCTCTCCCCGGACTTTGTTCCCTGTAAGTTGGAAGGAGCTGGAGAGGTGCGTGGAGAGAGCAGGGAACCCGGGACCGGATTCAGCCTCAGAGATGGTCGCCAGGTCACAGCGCTCTCTCGCCCTGCCACCCCCTGGTCAGGGGAAGGAGTGTCCCCGGGTCGCTCCTTGGCTTGGAGCTGGAGAACTTGGTGTTCGCTTGAAGCGACTTAGGGAATGTTTTCCCCGAACTAGCCTACAGGCTGAAACCCCGGGGCTGGCACCAGCTCCTACACTTGTCTATTCTCTGGGAAAGAAAATAAGGTCCCTCTTGATTCGGGAGGGGGGGGGGTTGTTGATTATCACATTGCAAACTATCTGCCCCCAATTCCTCATTTTAGCCTCCTGGTATACCCTCCACACCAATCAACACACGTCGTCCCACTCCCGAAAACGTCTCTCTATATTTTCTTTTCTTTTCCTTTGAAAAGGATGAAGTCAAATCATGTGGGTATTTTTTTGTTGGCTGTTTGCTCTTTCCACATATAAAAGTCCCCTTTCCTCTAGATTCTTCCATCTTCTTTTCCGCCCATTTTCTATTCCTTCAGCGTTCCAGATTCAGGGCTGATTGACAAGGCGAAGGAGGACCCTCTCTGGTTCCGCAGGGAACTCCAGATGGGCCCGGCCTGGGGAGAGACGGCAGATTGGCTTCCCCGCGCCGTGCCTCCCCTCTGCCCGCGTCCGGGGCTGCTTGAGAGCCCACCGCTCGGCACCAGCTCCGCCGCCCAAGCACCGGGATGTTTCAGAAGGGTGTCTGTGGGAATGCGCCCCGGGGTCCCAGGGAGCGCAAATGCTCGCTTAATTGCTGGAGTCAGGCTTGTTGGGGATTCGGGAGCTTCCTAAAAACACCGACCTGCCCCCCTGCCCGGCTGGGTCCAGCCGACCCACCTAGGGAGACTCAGGTGGAGCCTCCAGGGAGGACGGCGGGCCGAGGAGGGAGAGCTGCGGCCTCCGGGCGCGCTGGGCTGGCTGGGGACCGTGGGCGAAGCCAGAACAGACGAGGGCAAACCGGACTGGCCCCGGAAGGTGTGCACCTATGGGTCCAGGGTCAGGGCAGGACCCGACTTTGCCCACTAAGCCCCTGTGCGAAGAGGAAACACCTGCTACGCAACTCTGCACAACTTCCCGCCCCTCACCCCCGCGCTCCGAGCGCAGCGGGGCCTCGCCAGGCTGCTCAGCCTCCGAGCGCACTCTCGCTTCCCCGCGGTTCCGCGGGCTCCGCGCGCCCTTCCCCCGCAATTAGCAGGGGTTGCTGCGCCGAGACGCCGGCTGCCCTGCCCCGGCTGCTTAATAATCCGCACACGTGTGCGCCGGGCGGATGCCGCCCCCGCGCGGGTGGGCCGAGTTGCTGGGCGCGGAGGGGGCCGGGGCTGCTCCGGCGGATCCTGGTCGACCGGCTCGGGGCGCGAAGTCCTGGGCGCCCTGGAGGGGCCGCCGCAGGGAGCACAGCGCCTCTTGTGTCCTGGGGGTCCCAAGTCCCGCCTGTAGAAGCCAAGAAGTGGAATACAGGGTCCCAGGCCCCTGGCGTGCGCGGTGCGAGTGTGTGTGCCTGTGTGTGTGTGATTGCGCGTGGAGGGGCTGGGCGGCCGCTCTCACTGCGCTACTGCCTGATGGAGGCAGCAGAGGGTGCGCGCGGCTCCCCGTCGCCCCCGCGGGGGCCGGGGCCGCGTCTCCTCTACGCCTCCGGGTCGAGTGGAAGCGTGATGCGGGCGGGAGGCTGTGACGCCAGCGCTGGCGCGGCCCTGTGTGACCGGGTGGCTGGGGCGGGGGCGCAGTCCCCTCGGAGAGGGCGCCCCGGGGGCGCCCGGGCCCCGGAGCGCAGGAGGGCTTCCCCGAGGAGTCGCCAGGGATGCGGGGGCAGCGCCGCGCGCGCCCGGGGGACTGCTCCCGCGGCGGCGAAGGCGGGCGGGCAGTTCTGATTTGTGGGGCGGGATTCGTGACCTGTTTGCGAGTCGTGAGAGGCTGGAGGCGGCCGCGGCTGCGGTCTTTAGAACGCGGTACCTTCTGTACCGCGGTCAACTGCTGGAGTTGATTGTGGAGGCTGAAGGGACCCGGAATCCCCTGTGATAATCTTTTTCCTTTGGATTATTAGCGCGATTGTGAAGGTTGGGTCTCATGTGTGCATACCTCCTTAAAAGCCCCGCAATTGCAGGGACCCCAGGAAAGGGAAGAAAGCTTGAAAGCCTCTCCCATCTTCATCTAGTAAGTAGGAATAATTCATTCCGTGAACACAGATTACGCTCTTTATCCGGGGCTGATCTACGGGCTGTTTGGAGAAAGTTTGCTTCTCCATTGCGTCTTGCCAGTTTGTGCAGCAAGGAGAATGCAGCTATTTGCAGGCATTGTTCAGAAAGGTCCTAAAAAGAGTTACATACTTAGCTCTATGGGTCTCACCATGGGAAGCCTGGAAGAGAAAGGTGATGTTTCTCAAAATCTGTGATTCTGAAATTCACGGACACTTCCAGCAAAGATTTAAGCGATCCTTGCCAAATTTCCACAAAAACCTCTACAAGAAGAGAAAGGGAGGGAGAGAGGGAGGGAAAGAGAGACAGACAGACAAGGTTTCCCAGACCTTCATACTTCTATGAGTTGCCTCTATCATCACCAGGATAGATGCGAAGAACTTTCATTTGCTGGCTGGGATCCTCATGGCTAGGCAACTGCAGGGATGTGTCTATATGCACTGTCTCCTGGGGAACACAGGAAATTCTGTGAATAAGAGGCTTCCAGGGACAAACCCTGATCCATCACACACTAAAAAGGCAGGCCATCTAAGGAAGTTAGTATTTCTACATCCATGATTTGCTTAGCAAATCACATTTATTTTTTATTGAGCTGTCAAGGGGATTTTTTTTTTTTTTCCAATTTATAACTCTTCAGCCCATAGCTCTAGTGCTTCTGGAGCACCTATATAATTCTTCTCTGGGGATTTTAAGTCCTTAAGAAGGTAAGCAGAGGGGACGCCTTCTTCCTAAATGACACATTTTATGAACTTGAACTAGTAGGACAGTGAGGTCTCATTAAACAAGTTCCAAGGAGCAGTAGCAGGTAGTAACTGATGGTAGAATTCCCTCAGGTGTCAGAATCCGCCCTAACACAGGCCTGGAGAGGATAGGGGTCACTGTTTTGACTCCGGCTTTCAGCTGGCCAGTCTTGCTTGATGGGCAGAGAGCCAGGAATGCAGTGGAAGTTCCTCCAGGCGCAAACAGCTCCTCCTGGGGGCAATCCTTCCTCAGTCTCCAGTTGACTCTCAGAAGCAAATACCAATAGGGCTTTGAAAATGTCAAGAAAATGGTTCTGCTTCCTTTAAGAAATAGATAAACAAAGGCTCTCATGTCCAGTTAGCACTCACTGCAGACGAAACAGCAAATCCAGTGTAGACATTTCTAAGCTGTCAAAATGCAAATGGCATATTAAATACTCTGTGCTCTACTGAATTCTAAATGGGCCTCTGGTAAGTTTTCTGCTGAGCTCATAGTGAAAATAAACCACCAGAACTTGCATATATGTAACTTAAACTGCACATTCCCTTTAGCCTTTTATATGTCTCTGGTGAGGTTCATCTCTCTAGAATTAAGAAGGTGCTTCAGGACTTCTTGCAGAGTAGATGACAAAGCTATATTGTCTTTTAGTTTTATTTGTTTAGCTAACACATCAGAAGAAGACATCTGAGTTAAAGGGATAGGTACTCTGCAGCCTATAGCATTTGCATCCGTGGGTTGCCTGGGTCCCAGTGCCACTGGAATAGGAAGCTGGGTTTCTGGACCAGTGCGGTAACTGATAGAATCAAACCAGCCCATTGTGCAGTCAGGCCACTATGGAAACCAGAAAAAGTTAATGTTTGAAACAAGAGAATTGGCTTGGATTTGCCATCTGGGGCACAGAAAAAAATTCGTGGTCCTGAAATAATTGGTCCTGAAAGAAAGCAACCCCTTGATCTTGCCTTTAGCTTGCACAGCCACTGGGCTTAAAGAACAACCTATGAGTATGAAAATCAGATAATCGTATTTAGGTATTTGCCTAAGTGCAAGGAAATAAGTCTCTTCTACGGTGATGTTAAGATGACCTTAAATGTTCTTTGACAAAATTAATCTGTCTATATGTAGGGTGGAATTTAGACCCAAGTGGATAAATACCAGAATTAAAATCCCCATTGTAGAAAAAAAGAATAGGAGAAAATTGTTTCACTGAACTGGTTAAAACTGACCGATTGTGGCGGCTTTATGGAAATAATGTACAGTGTATACTCTCCCCTCCCCTCACACATCAACCTCTTTGAAACACATTTTTTCTTATCCTTTTTTTTTTTTAACATTTTTGAATTTAGCTGCAGTTTCCTTAAACCATTTCTACCATGCCCTAGTTTGGGGGAAAGAAAGGGCCCTCGGCGCTTGTAGGGAGGCTGCAGCCTTCTCTTTAGTGTTGGACACCTTTGTTCCAGATGGAGGAGATGTCACCCATCCCATTGAACAAAACCTCCTCCTGCATATGTGGGAAGCATTCTACTTAGGAATAATACTTCAACAAATTTACTTGATTTAGAATCACTGTGACTTTGACCCACTATATATCTCTTACCACATGTGTCTCTTGCTAAAACTTCTTTGATGAATGAAAAAAAACATGCAGGCATGGACAAGTATTAAAAATAACTACTTTATCTTTAATGCTTCTGGTGCATTTTGCAGTTTATTGGTTGAAATCCTCCTGCTTTATCCTGCACTAGTTTTAGCTCTGGGAAAGCTATAAAAGGGATATTTCACTGTTGTCATTCTCTTCAAATATAAGTAGAATAAAAGAGATGCTTCCATCTTAATACTTATAATCTTAACGTGATTTTGCCCCCATTGTCTGTAAAGCCAGAAGTGATGAATAATGCTTTGTAATTTAAAAATTATCCTTGTTACTACCATGAGATCAAGGGAAACAGAGGCATGAAAGAATCAAGCTGGTATTACTTTCCAGGTTTTCACCAGTGAGTCACTTTTAGGATATTGTTACAACCTGAGACTTAAAAGGCATAAAACATCAGCCTGATTCTAAGCACTTTTATTCAGTTATTTTTGGGGTTGGGGTTGTATTTATTTTTGGAGGCCCTGCACCTTGGTAAGATTCAAGAAACCTCATATAACATGTTGATATTGTAAATGCAAATCCAAGGTAATGGATTTGTTATCTGAGATTTATCATCATAATGGATAATTATGGAATTATCCAGATAACTTTAAGCCATGTGAATCTCAAAGAAAGCAGAGCAGCTTTTGAGGACATCAAGCATTTATCCAGTGTGTGTTTTGGGTACTAAACAGGTTCCCGTTGTTGTTGAAGATGTTGGCATTGTGGTCTTGATGTTGAGTTTTTGAATAATCTTTTGCAAAATGTGTATGCATAATGATCACTTGAGGTCTTCTTTAAATGCAACTTTCAAGGCTTCTCCCCTCAAGTGATCCTCAAAAGTAGTTCTGAGTGGTGTCAGAGAACTATCTGTCTGTGTATCTATCTATCTACATATCTATCTCAAAACCTAATAACCGTTCAGTTAGAGGCCTCAAAACCTAATAACCTCTTCACTGAATGTTCACAGGCTAATTAGCCCACCCTGATTTCATTTTGAAACTACATAATATGCTACGTAATGAAACTGTGCAATTATTTCAGAAGATTTCTTCTTTATCTTTAATGTCTTCATTATCAGAGTTCATCATTCTATGCTCTTTAATCCTTTTTTTAAATGATTTTACAACTAAGCTGAGATTCAAGTTCCTTGTCTGTAGTGTTTATATTATGAATGACTTCAAGGGATTATTGTAGTCTTTCATATAAAAATATTGTAAGATAAATTATTTTACATTTTTTTCTTTTTACTCTTTAGTATACTCTGATAAGGTTAGTGTTGTAGAAGAAGGAGCTAAGTGTTAGATTAAAATTGGAATTATTCAGGAAGCATTCTCTAATGAATTAAAAACCTTTGAAATTAATTGTGAATTCTGAGCAGTTCTTTTCCAGATGCCTGGTGAATCTCTATGCCTTTCTTCACAGAAACTTCTTTATGTTTCCTCTTGTTGTTAATAGAAAATGCCCTTATTAATCTTTTAAAAGTGAATAATTGTCAACACGAAGTTTATATCATGCAAAATATGGGATGGTCTCTCACTATTCCTGTTCCTATAAAATTCTGCACCCTTGACCTGCTTCTGGTTCTTAAAACCCCAGAACTCTCTGAGTGAATTTTCACTTTCTTTTTCTATCAGTAAATAGAAAATCAGCATTAGAGACCTTTGACTTTTACGCAGATGGATAATCTTCAGAGATTCAGAAAGTTAAACACAGCTCCTTCTGAGGAATATGGGTTCTCCTGGCCTTAAGAATATTCACTTTTGTTTCAAAGAATGAGCCACAGACTGTGTTCAAAGGCTGTCAATAGCTTCTGTCTCCTATTTCAGACTTTTTGTGTGTGGTTAGGAAAGTGATGTACTTTGATGTGTAATACAGCTGTGGATAGTTAAGACTTGCGGGTGTGATTGACACTTTCATACATAATAGAGGAGGAACCCTGACAACATAAGAAGGGCCACATTTTTACAAGAAATTAACAAAATGGAGCAGATACTTCCCTTCCTGCACTGGAAATGTAAATTTATCCAGCATCAATCTTGCCTTCCTTGTTCTATCTCATTCTTGTTCTCCTTTCTTTACAAAATATGATTATTGTGAACAACTTAAATCCAGCCATTAGAGTTTTCCTGGTTGCAGGGCATCTGCGGACTACCTGCTCAACATGCATGCACTGTTTTAAATGGAAACAATGTGACATTTCCAAAATGCAAATCCTTATACTTAAAAAAAATTGTAGATAATATCAAGGGAAATTCAAGTGAGAAAAATCATCTCAGTATTAGGTAGAATTATGTTTAT